CCCCCCCCCCCTCTCCCAAAAGGAAGTGCATCTGTGTGCGAGAGTGCGTCTCCGAATAGTTCCTGGGTGCACGCTGGAGACGCCTCCGAATATCTTTTGCCTTCTTGACATGCCATTGACCGTGCTCGAATTATTCCGGCCGAGATGACGTAAGTAAGTAAGTAGTGGACATAAGTTAGCCGTAGGAAAATGTCCCCACGTTTACACGGTATTTCCTCCATCTTGCGGGGATTATGAGACCCGTATATTTAGGACTAGCGTCATTATTAATAACTAGCTGCACACAAGCTTTGAGATTAAGGCTCAGGTCATCATGAACAGCTTTAGAGCAAAAGGGTCGTTGCCGTTATTTGAAGACAGCCAATCTTGACTAGGACAAGGACAATCTTTATTCATCTCGCAGGGAGAAATTTGTCTAGGTCGTTATCAATGTCAGTGAGTGTCACGAAGGTTAGGTGTACTCACGTACATGTACAACAAGACAGGACATTAGTAAATACATGACTCACAAATTGAAACTACAGTTTTTGAAAAGAATTTTTTTTATCTGATTGGTCCACCTTGGGAATTTTGTTTTTACAGTGACGTACATAAATACACAGACTCATCAATGAGTAATTTCATGAATATCAATAGGCAATATCATAAATGGTCGCTTTTACGGACAAGCGGGTTAACCCAGATTTCGGGAGTTTCCAGAAATCTTGACCTATACCAAAAGTGGGCATTGCCCTACCTGTAGGAGAAGTTTGGCTTCATTGGTGTGCATTTTTGTTTTAGTTATAGAGAAAACTCTCCTTGTCTTTTAAAGAAACTGAACAAGGTTCCAAAAACTTTACCGTCGATTTTCTGAAAAACAGCATTTTTTTTCGGGTTAGCCCCCTTGTGCTTAAAAGCGAACCAATTATAGACAATCCACACAATTTTGTTGATCTCCACTGTGCAACGCCCTGTTTTTGAGCTAAGGTTATCATGTGTTGCTCAAGAACACACCGTAGAGAGGGGGGGGGGGGCTCTCGTGGCCTAGAGGTTAAGGTATTCGTCCCTCATTCAATAGGTCCCGGGTTCCAACCCGGGTAGCGATGGAAATTTTTCTTCTCTAAAGTTGTTTCCTTTCACCTCCTTTACTGCTCTCTAGCAATGTTCTGTCGTCTGCTTTCGTCTCCACTTTCTGTCCCCACCCCCTCACCTCCTTTGCCACCTCCTCTGGGCTCCCGACTCCTTCTTCAGCCATTCTTTTGCTACTCCTTGGCTCCGTCTTACTGCTGTCTTTCAGCAACACCACTGATTTTATGGTAGGTAAGATCTACACATAGCCTTCTCAGACAAGGGCAAACAATCTTAGAGGTCCTGTGTGCAAGTTGCGCACGTTAAAGATTCCTTGGTGATTCAAAATCTATAAGAGTATGCAAAACTCAAAATTTTCTTCAAACTGAAAATGTTTAATGTGTCCCGTACGCTCATATGTCCTTATGCAGTTGCGAGCGCCGTAAAACATTTACCCAAAAAAACCAAAAAGACACCCCCCCAGTGACCATCCACCTGAACCCCATGTCCTCGACACACGCATGACGTCACTGTACCGGGGATCCTGAATTCGCCACACGGTCAAAAGATAGGTCACAAGTTGAAAAAACGACTATTCTCTCTCCCCCTCTCTCTCTCTCTCTTTCTCCGTCTCTCTTTCTCTCTCTCTCTCTCTCTCTCTCTCTCTCTCTCTCTCTC